ATTGAGGTCTGTGAGAGGTTGCTTGCTAGAGAAACCCCAAAGGTCTTCAAGATGAGTATGTGACTATGTAGCCTATATACAACTAATCTATGACAGCTCTGCATGAGCACACAGAGCCCACAAGACACATGATACATGTAGACTCAGCACGATGCCTTCCCAACATAGATAGCGAGAGCGGTGTTCGAGCCCAGAGTAGCCGTAAACTGACCGCTCCCGTCAACCGTCACGGCGGTGTTGGCCTGCACATTGCAGTACGTGCCCGCCGGGAGCGACGTCTGGAAAGTCCGCGTCAGTGAGCTGCCCTCCTTATTAATGGCGACGAAGCCCTTGTTGCCCCGCCCAAACGCGATCTGGTTGTTGCCGTTGTCCCACCAGTCCGCCACCGCCTGGCCGCGCACGGCGTTGCGGAAGGCGACCATGCCCAGGACCTCGGACCAGGCGTGCTGGCACTTCCACGAGTCCTGCCAGCAGGCGTCGACGACGCCGTTGTTGGGCGGTCCCGCGTCGCTGTCGGAGAATTCGTAGCCAGAGTTGATGTCCGGGGCGCCGTAGGGGTACGCGAGCATGAAGACGGTGGCGAGGGTGTACTTGGCGTTGTCCTTGTAGTTGAGGGTTTGGCCGTTGCGCTCGGTGTCGTGGTTGTCGACGAAGACGGCCGCGACCGAGCTGCTCATGTACCCCCAGCTCTCGCCGTAGTCTTTCAGGTAGGCGAGCTTCTCGTCGTTGAAGACGCGTTTGAGGTCGTAGGCGTAGCGGAACTCCTGGACGTCGCCGTTGCGGGTGTATTCGGTGGGCTGCACGGCTTCCCCGGCGCCGTAAATGACCTCCTGCTTCCAGTACACGCCCGAATTGGTCAACCGGCTTTTGATATCAGTAAGATCTTCAGTTGCGATATGCTTGGCCGCGTCGATGCGGAATCCGTCGACGCCGAGGCTGAGGAGGTCGTTCATATAGCCGGCGATGGTCTTGCGGACGTAGTCCTCATTGGTGTCCAGGTCGGCCAGGCCGACAAGCTCGCAGTGCTGGACGCTCCAGCGGTCACCGTAGTCGGAAATCTGGGAGGTGCAATCGTCGAAGTCAGAGGCAGAGTAGAGGCCCGGGTAGTTGTACTTGGTATACGACGAGCCGCCGGTCCCGGTACCGCCGCCCGCCGACATATGGTTAATGACGGAGTCAACAATCACCTTCACGCCGGCCGAGTGGCAGGTGTTCACCATGCTCTGGAAGGACTCTCGATTGCCGAGGCGTCCGGCAATCTTGTATGACACGGGTTGGTACGACGTCCACCACTGCGAGCCTTGGATGTGCTCGGCGGGCGGGGAGACCTGGACATATCCGTAACCGGCAGGGCCGAGAGTACTAGAGCACTCCCTAGCGACCGAGTCGTAGTTCCACTCGAAAAGGACAGCGGTGACGTCTTTGTCGCCGGGAGGAGAGGCGTTGACGACAGTTGGAGCCAGGACAATGAAAGTGGAAGCTAACAGCGATGCTGCTACCGCGAGGGTCTTGGGTGCCATCACTGGCAGTTTTGGCGTAGAAGGCTGCGCTTGGAAGCGTAATTTGTAAGGAATATACAGAAGAGGTTGGGAACTACATGTACTGATTGGGCAAGTATTGGGGGAGAATTAGACGGAATATATCGATCATATGTATTCGTCAGCGTCTTCTCCTAGCCCCTTTTCCTGTCGCGGCCGAACGTAACCGTCGGTGCGCCATCACAGGTGACAGGTGACAGTCACGGCTCACCATCGCAGTCTCTATCAGAGCCACCATCAGAGTCCGTCTTGTGTTGCGTTCCTCCATCCTCCCCCTCCACTCTGCCTCCTCCACCCCGGGAGCCCACATGCCATCTCGTCGGCTCTTGGGCGTTGCACTAGGATCTGTGGGGAAGTGGGCTGAGAAGAGCCGAGCGTGGGGAAAAAACATTGTTTTGCGGAGACGCGGGGGATCCTCGCACCCTCAATGGCACCCTGGCATCTTCCCTTCCCCCTTCTTTGCCTGCCTTATGCGGTTCTGCCTCCGCTGGGGACTCTGAAATCGGGCCGTTCTCCATCATGTCGCCATTACACAGTAATAAGCCCGACATGCGCCCCTTGGTGCTGTTTCACGCCCGCCGTTGAGTTTTACTATGCTTGAAAAGGGATACCGCTCCGCGTTGAAACCCTGCTTGGAACCCTGTTTCTCAACGGCCACTTGAGTCCGCGTGCGTCTTTTTGGATGGTGCGCCGTGGGTCGAGTTTAGGCCCTGCACATTTTCAAACATGAACACGGCGCGTACTCGTCGTACCTTACCCAGTCTAAAATCATTCATTCCATTGCTACAACTAGTCCTGGGAAAGTGGCTAGAACAGTCACGGGGCTTCTTTTCTCACGCGACTGTGCCCGCGTTGCCAGAGGTACGGCCCCTTTCAGGCAGTGAGGTATCAGATTCCCAGCATACAAGCTGCCACAGCTCCGGCAGAGTCTTGAATCCCACACTCTAAGTGATGCCCATTATGACGCCATCCCGAACCAATTGTCCTCCATGCTTGTCAGGGCTGCAAGTTGACCACTCACCCCGTCCATACCGCCGGGCCGGGGGGTTTGTACTCCATCAACCTCATGTCATCCGCTTTCACGGGTCCACCCAGCACGTCTTGGTTCGGGGGCACGAGAAAACCTAAGGGCCAGATAGTTAGCAAAGTCCCTTGCTATACGGAGCTCGGCGTATCCTTACCTGGATCCTCGTCTTGATATGTGCCAGGGAACGTCACAAAGTCTGTCGGGGTGCCCCCGCCGGGGCCAATGATGTTGACAAAAGCACAGTTGATGTAAAACTGAAGGTATCCAGTTCTGGCCGTGGGCATGAAGTTCTCAATGCGGAGTAGGTATTTACCAGGTGGCGTAGTTTTCGGGATTGTGAAGTTGAACTGGATATCAGAAACAGCCCTGCCGTCAGCATCCGCTACCATTCACCAGCCAGCGGAAGGTGGAGACGGGAAACGTACGTCGGATACGCTGTGCGGCCACAGCACCCATTCCTGGTTATTCAAGGGGCCTGCGTAGGCAATCTTGAACCAGTCACCGTCACCCTTATAGCTCTGGAGGTCGTCGTTCGGGGCGCGCGAGAGGTAAATTTGCGCGGGACCCGGATGCCAGAAGCTCGGGAACTGTGAGTACTCGGCGTTTCTGTTGCCATTGCCGTCGGCCGAGACCCGGAAGCCAACTTCGGAACCCGCCAGCACGTCAGCCGTCTCGGTCCGAGGCGCGGAAGCGAATGCTGCCCGGCCGCAAGTTACGTTTGGGTTTGCAGCGCCGATGATGGGATCGAGTTTATATCCTTGATAACCGGGGGGGTAATAACTGGGGTCAAGTGAGGTCGAGGGGCCCACATCGCTATGAGGTATTGCCGTATTAGCACCATCAGAACTGGAGGATGCCTGGGTTGGGCGTCGGGACTCACAGGACGTATTTCCACTCGGCCGTCTCGGTTCCGTTCACGAGAAGAATTCCCTGTACATCTATGGAGTTCACCAGCTATTAGATAGCTCTGTCGACTTTTGGCAAAAGCATACTCACTGTGTCCCAAGACATCTGAAGCAAACAATACGCCTAGGAGTGCGACCCAAGACGTTCGCATTTTCACTATCGTTGACGATCGGTTTACCGCTATTTAGTTGGGGCGAGGGCGGGCTGAGTTGAGTTGAGCCTCGACGCAAAGGCTCAAGATGTGGCTTTAAATAGGTAGCTTGAATGACGGAGGTTCCGATCAGCACACTTCCTAATACATATCCGTTCCGAGCGGATTTAACCGGTTCTGAAGGGGCATCATGACTCGAAGGTTTTACTGCCACGACGTGTGATGCATACCAGCCGTGTGCACAAGTTCCTTGAGTAATTAAACGTCGGTATGGACTGCGGGGAAATCGAGATATTAAGCCACCATCTTGCTAAAGGGAGCGGCCATTCTGTCAAGTAGGGTGGTAGCGTCGTATTGGTAGTATACACGCTGGCGTGATTGGTAAGATAGCTGAGGTTATTAACCTCGGCCTCATTGAAGGATTAGACAAAGTACAGCGTTCATTTACTTTGAGTAGGCGGCTAGGCTCTGTTGATCATAAACCTTAGGACTGAGTCGAAATTTGTGAAGCTTCCCCCCCCTAGGCCCCTACCAACTTCCGGTTGCAACACCTGCTGATACTAGGCCATTGACCTGGATCCAATCATCCAAGGAGGTTCCGAAAGGGCCAGCTCTCGTTCATATTGCATCTTTAGAACTTGGCACAGGGAGGTTGGCTTACCTTCCATAGGTAATGTAGGTAATTGGTAGTTGGCTTATGGGCAGGGTTAAGGAGAAGGGCATGACACTAGGTAGCAATATGTGATCGCGTAGGTAGGTAGTTAGAAACCTAGGTGGGCAAGTATGGGCCTTTGGATGGACTAGTTTCCCGCACCAACGACTGTATATTATGGCCGTCTTCTCCAGTATTTGACCCCTCACGCCGATACTCAAGAACGAGCTCTACCCCTTTCCACCCGCTAACTGGTAATATCCAAATTTATGGCACCGACAGGGGCCCTGAAAGATATATTTACTTGCTGAGAGGCAGCAGTCTATCACTAATACACAGGCACAAATCGCTTCGCATTCCCGGGCCTGTTGTCAATGATAGTAACGCCGTTATTCGTACTGGCGTTGTTGCTACCAGGGTCCGCGAAAACGAAACGATTCCCTTGGCAGCATTGCTGGCACCCCGGAGGGTCGAACGGAGTCCCGCACGTACGACAGAAGGACCCCCGTCGATCTAGGGCCAAGGCGGGAGGGCGACTGTCCGAGAAGTCTGGCCACCCTCTCCATTTGGCAACGTTACGACAGCGGGGGGGAGGTTCACACTGGGGAAAATGGTGATGGGGATGGCCCCCGTCGATACGTTGACATTGGAGAAAGGGATGCCGTCGGTCACGATAGAGGGCACCGAGATAGTGAGAGTAGTGGTGGTCGTGACAAAAACGGTGGTTTGCACACCGCCGATAGTGATCGTGTCGAACTCTCCATACTCCAGCGAAGTGGTGTAGCTGCTAGGTTGGATGGTGGTGGACGACCCCAACGAACTCGTCGGAATCACGAGCATGTAGGACTGGCTCGGGCAGCTCACCGTGGGCGCGTCCCACACTTCGGTGTCAACCCACACCATATTGACGTGGTCATCCCCTTCAAGGGGCACCCACACGCTGACCTCGGTGGTGGAGCCACGCTGGTTGTCACTCTGGGGGACGTTGGTGTTGTCGATACCACTGGCTATGTTGATGGTGGCTACCGTAAACCGGTTGTAGATGACAACGCCCTTCGAGCCTTTGACCTCGAGAATGCGGTCCCGGCAGTTGTTGGTGAGGATGCAGTCTTGGTAGTACTCATTGAAGAAGCTGTACAAGCCAGCCGAGTGGATCATGATATCTTCCGAGTCGATGATCTGCAGGCCCCAGGCGTAGTTGCACCAGTCATCCCACACTTCGGCCGCGATCTCGCAGTGGCTGAAGTCAGGGTCGTTGGGAAAACTAGCGGCGGCCTGGAAAGGGGCGGGGGGTCTGGGTTTGGGCTGGTAATAAGGCGATTCAGTTTGGATGTGGCCCATGAAGACGCTCTTAGCTCCGCTGATGAGGTAGTTGTAGAGAATGGCGTGTTCAGAGCCACCACCGTGGAACCACGACGGGCCCTTGGACTCGATCAGCGTCCCGCGGGCTGCAAAGATGGAAATCTGCGTCGAGCTGGAGTCGGGCTGGTTGTAGATGGACTTGTCGTTGTCGTGGTCGTGACGGAAGAACTGGTTCTGGTTGATGTACCACTGCTGGCTGGCCCGAGGCGCCGGGGATGTAGGGGTCCACATCGAATAAGGCGATCCCCTGAAAGTCGTTGCAGCCTTTGATAATGGGCATATCGTTGGGGTCACCAACAAATTGCGTGTAGTAGTACTGAATCACGGGCGTGCAGATCTTGTAGGTACCCCCTGGGAAATACACAATGGCACCTTGCGAGAATGTGTTGCCACACTTCTCGCCGCATCGCGTCCGGGCGTCACCGACCGAGTCCTTGTTCCAACTGGCCGAAGCCGCGTTGAGGGCCTCCGTGGCGTCTGTCTCTCCTGAGTTGTCGGCACCAAAGTCCTCCACAACGTTGCGGAAGAACTGGTAGTTGCCATCGCCAGCATGCGGTTGCTTTGTACCTTGTTAGTCATTGTCATACATAGAATAACCCTAGTCGAATGTGAGCGTAGCACTTACTTTTCCCAAAGGCCGCAGGCTGGAGAGCCAAAAGTCAGACGATTGCCGCTTGCGTGCGGCAGACTTGAAGCTTGTCACCTTGGTCTTGTTGAATCCGTCAAAGCCGCCGCGAAGCACAACACCGCGCTTAAGGTTGGACAAGTAGGTGTCCAGGCTACCAGAGTAGGCCCAAACTGGCCCATTCTGCCTGCCTTTGTCAGGGGCTGTTTTGTAGTAATTATGTTGGTTGTCGACGATGTACCGGCGCCAGCTATTGAAGAGATAGGTCAGCATTTCAGTTGGCTTTTGACACCGTAGTGAGCATCGACATACCCGGGGGTCATAAGCAGCAGGTTTGGTTGTGTTTCGACCGCGAAGGGGACTCGTGTTGGCCGCCAGCACGAGGTTCCCATGCGCGACCAGCAAGGTCAAGAACAGAGCGAGTAGCGCCGCCATGGTGCTCTACCACGTCAGTTCCGACAGCAAGATGTAGATGAGAGGTGAGTTCGTTAATAAGATTGCATGGATCCTAGGACCTCCTCGTGTAACGTGCATTATATTGATACCGGGTTCCAGGGTGGGATTCTCCTGGCAATAAACAATATCACATCACACTCACATGGGTAACAAAGATCCGGACCTAGATATGCATAAAAGCTGACCACCATCCCACTGTCCCCTGAAAGGGAAGGTCCAAGTTTGGTATGGGGTTACAGATCCCGCGGGCATTTTGCCGGTCCCTTTCGGGGATGACTTCACTCAATATCACATTCGGTTCCGCCCGAGGGAGCGCGGCCTGTCTCCCGTGCTCAGCAGGTCATCAACATGTGTAGATCGTGTGTTAGTCTAGGCAGTCGAGCCGATCGCGCTGCTACTGACACGGCTACGGTCTATCCTCTCTCCTTTTCCCTTCCTCTTTGTCTGGTCCTCGTTCCCCGTCTTGTTCCCCGTGTCGTTCCCTCGTTTCTCGTCCCAGAGTCATCGACGCCGGCAGGCTACCTCTGGGCTTTTACAGAATGGCACAACCCTTTTCCCTTCTGGGCCTCATTGCGAGCCTCCTCGCCCTCCTGCCGTGCTCCATCGCCGACGTGCAAATTACTGATCTATTTACCCTTGAGCCCGGCCTTGCTGATGGGGACGGCGGCTGCGGTTCCCGGGAGAAGGCGTTGGACGACTGACTCACCGAGTCTATTTACAGTATTGATGCGGCCCTGGGAGCCATGGACAGGTATAGAACAGACGAACGAGTTCGAAAATCAATATCGACAATATTCGGTATTAGGAACATGGGAGCAAAGGTGGGAGAAAATACACCCACATGGAACAGAATCAAAGACATCAGAGGTACGTGACGGCCGCTGGGCGACGTTTCATCTCTTTTTGCTCGCGCTGACGGCGTTACCAAGACAACATCCAACATGTGAGAAATTTTCTCAACGGCGACCCTCGGTATAAGAATGCCGCCGGCTACAAATTGTTCTGTCACAGCACCTTTTCTGACCGAGCACCAACCGAACTCGCCCGCCTTGGATTATAAAGACGACGAGATTAAGGACCAGAACGACCAGAACGTCCTCGTCAGGGACGTGCCCCTCTATCAGAGTGAACTTGCCAAAGACCCGGAGAACAAACCATGGTGGGCTGGCGACCTCACCAGCATCAACGGTTACTTCTTCTCGGAACACGGCGCCAGTTACTGCACCGGTAAATAAACTCGGCTGCACTATGGACATCCAGCCGCTCGAACAAGGCGACAACGGCCAGGCCCAGGGAGGCAAGGTGCTAACGACAGTCATTCTCTGCCCCGAGAGCTTCAACAGCGAGTCGCGGCCAAACACCTACCGCGAGGCCAACAATCAGATCATTGTGAATAAAAGCCTTGCTGCCGTCGTTCCCAAGAGCGCTACCCTTCTACACGAGGCCTTTCACCTCGTCCATGGAGGTAAACTTTCGGCCACCGACGAGGAATATGGGTAACTCGCAATCGTTCCCTAACTGGACGATACTAGGATGCTGATGCTGACTTGGGGTGGGACTGGGCAGATGACATCGCCACCTGCCTCGAGATGGCGAACGAGAAGTCTGGACGGGCAGAGTTGAACCCCGAGAACTACGTCTTCTTCATCGCTCACATGTATCACATGTTTGGGGTGCGCGACGAACAGCACCCGTGGTCTATCGAGAAGCAGTGGGACTTTGCATTCACTGATAAGAGTCGAGATCGGATTTTTGGGGCCATTGAAATCAAGTAGGAGCGACGAAGAAGGGAATCAGATGTACTCACCGATAGGGGTAGTTACGAGGAGATAAAGCACCATATCTTGACATGTTTGAGCACACTCGCCTAGCCAGTGACTCGGTAGAAATGTCAACACCTACATAGGTAGGCAGCCAGGTATTCAGTAAAACTATAAACTCCTCGTTCAAAACCAACATACCCGAAACGCAACCTGCTCAAACTGCTGCCGACGCCCATGACCGAGCCATAACCGCTCATTGCGACCTCTCACCGCCTTTAAAACCACGAGACTCCAAAAACTCCTCCATCCGCTCCCCCAACTCCCTCTTATACTCCGGATCCTCGGGATCAAACTCCGGCTCGGGCGGAAAAAACCGCGGCACCTCCCTCACATCCCACCGCTCCTGCACCCACGCCGTAGCCGGCGGCACCACCCTCTCCAGCGCCCTCGCCCACGCCTCCCTCGCCTTGGGATCAACCGCCACCACCCTCTCCGTCTCCACCGCCGCCTCATACTCCTCCGGCCCCCCATGATGCGGCGACCACAGAAAGAAATGACAAAAAACCGCCCGCCCCGCACCCTGGCCCCCATCCTGGCTATCCGCCGGCCGCCCAAACCTCTCCCACACCCACCCGTCCTCGCCCACCAGCCAGTACCACACGTGCGTGCCCTTCTGCCAGAAATAGCGCGTGGTGATGAGGCGCTCGGCGCCGGGCGGGCAGAAGGTGTCGAGCGCGCTGAGCTGGTCCTGCCAGAGGGCGTATTTGTCCTTGTCGTCGATGTGGTGGGGCACGAGGAAGGTGGTGAGCGTGACGAGGCCGGAGGCTTCGGGGGTGGCGGCTTCGGTGGCGTGTTGGAGGATCTGGAAGCGGGAGGGGGGTGGTGGTGAGAGGGGGGAGGTGTCGTCGAGGGTGAGGTGGCTGAGTGCGGAGCTGGGGTCTGTGGGTTCGGGGTTGTTGTTGTTGTTGTTGTTGTTGGCGTGCGAGGGGAGGTTATCTAGGAATGCGGTGCAGGCGGGGGAGGATTGGAATTTTAGGAAGTCATCTAGTGTGCGCCATCCTGTATAGGGAGTTAGTAGATGGAACTATGCTGCCCGTTTTGTCTGCAGCTCAAGACTGGACGCTCACGAATAATGTAGGCTGCCTGCTCGGGGTTGTCGACCATTCTTCCCAGTGAGAGTATCCTGCAACCTTCCACATCTGTCAGGGGGCCAGCATGGACGTCATCATGGTCCACGGTCCACGTCGGCCATTCCTGCTCCCGAGGTAGTTGAAACCGCGTCCATGTGATGAATGGTTTATAAGTGCGCCTCGCTGTTTGCTTGGTGCGAGCCATGGTGCGGGGACGTTAAGGGGGTAAATGGGGATGGATTTATGTTTGTCTAGGTAGGCTTGGACAGGTGTAAGAAAGTGGCAGAAAAGAGAGGTCCAATTGCGAGTAAGCAACTGCACTTTATAGCAGGATATCCAGCTTGTCTGGTCACACACAACCAAGAACGGGTTCACGGGCCGCCTATGCCGCCTTCTCCTTGACATATTGGGTCCCAATCCGGCAGCTCCAGTGCTTACACAATGGATCACCCTCTGCCTATCTCAATAGGCATTTTGGGTTACGATATCATTTACTGATTTATTAAGATGGAAGTTGACATGAAGCCAACAAGATTAATGTTTCAAAGAGGGTGTTACGCTGAGCAAAAGGACATCCTTGCCCGGCAAAGGCCAGGGGCACCCTCGATATACTGTGACAGAGGGGTTGCTCCCAGGCGTCAAATTATTTGTAATGTCGAGTAAATGTCCAGCAGCGCTCCCTTCGAACCTTCTAACGTAGAATATTATAGTAGAAATCGTTCCTTCTCAAGTTAGCTAACCTAAGTTGTATTTCTGGGTGTTAATTAACCTGAAAATCTAGTTAATCTGTTCTCTTACTTTCTAAACTCCATTGAAACTTTTGTTCAAGCCCAGCACCATCCTGGCAGAGCCCGAGCCTGCGTTGCATTACATGTAAGTAGCAACCTGATTTTCTACAAGTATTCCATCACCTTTCACAAATCGCTTTACAAGTACAGCGCCTAAACAATTTACCGTATATGTAGCTATCCCATTGTCTACCATCGTTCCCCAAATTCTTCCATCCCTTCCCACCAACTTCCGTCTGCGCCGTTGCTTCCCATCCCGCACCATCACCATGATACCTCCTGCGGGTTCACAACCAGATGTATTGATGAACCGCGGCGACGGAAGAGGATAGCGAACGGGTCTGGTGGTTAACGACGGGGGACACTCCCATTATCTACCCAAGTATCCCCTCCGGGCAAATTGCGCGCTTAAATCATGAGAGATCTGAACCACAGGCTGTTCCAAAGTTGAGACGAGGACTACCTACGATAATTATATTGGGCAAGCCCGCAAGAGGGTGACGAGATCCCGGGCCAACAACCCAGAACGCAGCAAGATATACCGAGCAGGACAAATTGCCGCCGCCATCGCAGCACAGAAATTCTGCTGCCAGGTTTGTGATCTCGCGCTGGGGACGAAGCAGAGGCTCCACGACCATGAGAAGACGGTCATGCACAACCGGAAAGCCAAAGAGCAGCTCAACTCCAGGTCTTTCTTCTGCAAGCCGTGCAATCTCTTGGTTATCACAACAAGAGCAGCCACTCGCCACGAGTTGAGTAAACGCCATGCCAACAATCTCTAGGCCCTCAGGGCCACAGCGCAAACGATATGGCCCTACAGTACCTACTTTTTCTACTGCCAGGCTTCGGCCAGCACTCAGAATATCCCCACTCACACAACCCACACATCGCTGTCACCGATCCCGACCGATATGATCCCACGCCAGCAGCGTACCTAATAATAAAACTCCACGTCCCTCCGCCGAGTCCACTCTTCGAATCCACCCCCTTAATCCACCCTCTTCCCTCTCCCCTCCCCTCTCCCCGCGCCAATATCCCCTCAAACCCCAAACCACAAACCTCAAACCTTAACCCCTCCTCCTACCCACCCCCACCCCCTCCAAATCCCGACCCCCAACCCCGAACCCAACCCTAAACCGCAACCCTCCCCTACCTCCTATGACAAAAGCCACCGCACCTCCCTCCTCTCCCTCACCGTCTCCGTGTATGAGCCATAAGGTTATGTCTTATGTGGACACGCCTGCTCACGTGCAGGTATGAATTACGCCCCGCTCTGGACTCATGTCAGTACTGTTGTAATTCATCAACCATTCTGACGACGGGGAAGCCATGGCAAACGGCTTGATGAACCTGAATGGTGGAAGCATCAACTGCTTGGCGCCTAGCGCCTAGATTTTGCCCATGGTGAAGCCTGAGGCGAAGAAGTTGATCATTTTGGGCCTCGTCTGACTCAGAACTGGGAGAGACTCACTCAGGGATGGGGTGAGACGGGACAAGATCTTCGCAATAAAACC